TAGATCCTAAATCCCAAACCCTAAATCCTAAATCCAAAATCCTAACCCCTAAACTCCCAGAGATGTGTCCTTCGGAACCAGGATCATGCTCTGCTGCTTGTGAAGAGGTCCAGTGAAGCTCGTGCGGCCCAGGACGACGAACACCTTGCCTGGTCTTAGGGTCTGGGGTTTAGCATTTAGGTTATTGGGTTTAGGCGGTCGATCCCTGAGCAGCCTTAGATATCCCCGCAACCACGCCCCAAAGAGGCAAAATTATGTATCTATATGAGCCATAGTCTGAACTCCCAGTATCCTTCCCAATTAGCCGTAAAGTAGTCCCCTAAATAATCCCTCCATAACCTCCATTCAGGAGTTTTCAGAATATAGCTCATTTTCATACCTTTCACATTCGCATTACCTGTCCCTCGCCCTGGTTTTTTCCCTGGACATGCGAAAACCCTAAAACCCTAAACCCGAAACGCTGAGCCCCGCCTCCCTCCTGCAGACATCCTGAAGAGACCCCAGGACGAGGAATTCACATAGAAATAGACTTACCTTTCCTTGGTTTAGGATTTACGGCTTAGGGCTTAAGGCTTAGGGTTTAGGATTTACTTGCCTTTGGTTAGCTAGGAATAATAAGGGACTGGATCCCTCTAGTAATCCCCATGTAACCCGTTACAATAGTTTTCATGTTTCCATGTTCCTTTCCATTCCTTCATTCCCAGCCAGCCAAAGGCAAGTATACCCGGAGAACTCTAATCCTTTCTCCCTAATTACTGGTTAACCCCACCCCACCCACCCTAGTATTGAAAAGCCACAACGGTTCCACTTGTTTTTTCGGGTGGGTTCAGTAATGGGGGAGGGGGGGGGGTGGAGTGGAAGGTTTATTCTAAGCCCTCAACCCAAAATAATACGTCATATTCTCTTCCATTTCCACTTTTCCGCAGGAATTATTAGGCCGCGGGGGAACGAGACCACTCTAGACCTCTTGCCGGATCTAGATTTAAGATTTAAGGCGGAAAGATGTGCAAGGAATTCATGTCCATACGCTAGGAGAACCCCAAATCCTGTATATGATAATGGCATACTAGGAATATAAGACGACCCTAAAATAATCCATTTCATCCTGTATAGTCACTGTTACTGGGTGGGGGTCCACCTATTTCATATGTCACACACCTTCGTTGTGGTCCTGTGAGCAAAGACTCGCGTGCTGAACGAGGGGGGCGAGGTGGGGTGGGGAGTCAGGGTTTAGGGTTTAGGGGTTTAGGCAGAAACGTTGCTACAAGGGACCTCCGGATCCCCCCGTAACTCCATTTCCCAAAGCCTGTCACGGGTTCCCTTTTTTGCGAGACACCCCGCCTGTTTTCAGAAGCTCCTACAAAAAAAGGCCTTCACGCCACTTTCAAGGGGAGCTCTGTTTTCCCCATCCCATGCCCTCAAATTCATGTGCCCCACACTCTGGGCTATGGAAAAGAACATAGAAAACAACATGGAAACTGAGCTCATGTAGAGGTTTTCAAGAAATAGCTGAAGGTCCTATCTGATCAGCATAGGGCATTGGGTTTTGTAGCGTTTTCTGCTGGAAGTATATGAGGAGGATCATGGCATAGTCGTCCTACTTGTTGAAGCTGTAGTAGACCCCAAAGCGGTTTAGGGTTTAGGGTTCAGCAGGAGGACGCAGGGCGAGTGATAGACAGCATGTGTAAATTCCCGCACATGCATGCACTTCTGACAACCAGAAACCGTGAATGGGTAGTTATTAGTGGGATGGGACGGATTATGGAGGACTGCATACGGGTTTCCATAGATGGGGGCCCCAAGATACACAAATACGGACGCCTCAAAATGGCCTCCTGCATGAGGCTTATACAAGGCCCAGCTGCATTCAGGTCTGATGGCCCCGGAAATCCACCACTTGTGCCCATTGATCACGTAGTGGTCCCCGTCCTCGTCTGTCAGTGATCTACGGAAACATACACTGGGAGACTGTTGGGATAGTACACACAATTGGTAATCATTGCTGTGTTTTTGCTGTCACGCCATATCCTGATGGATCACCCGCGGCTGATGTCATGCTAAGGTATGCCTAATAAGGCACGATAAGATGTCTTGCACAAATCTTCATTCACCCTAAGGGTCCAAGTAGACAATAATCAGGTTGACGGGATTTGGGTAAGAGTAACTCGAGTACAAGCTTGAAGGAGACATATGGGTATAGAGTAGGGTCCATATCGGGGTCCCCCTTTGTAGGAACACTACCACATGATTGTTGGGTACTTGGACCCTAAACACTACCTAAACCCCCAAAGTAGGTAGAATAATGACCCAAAACCCAGAAATATAGCCCAAAAGGCAATTATTCTACATACTTTGGAGGTTCAGGTAAGCCGTACTTGGACCCAGCCCATGAAATCCAAGATTTGCAGGTAGTCTTTACCCCACCGGCCAGCCCCCAACTACCCTCTTAGGGTTTCGGGCTCAAGGGTCAGGGTTTGGGGTTAGGGTTTAGGGTTTAGGGGTTAAGGGTTTAGGGGTTTAGGGTTTGGGGGTTGCATTTCACCTCAAGGTTCTTGTGACTAAGTAACTACCTATAACTGGGCTTATGCCCTTTTTAATAATTCCCCTAAGTGGACTTATGTAGGTTACTCCAAGCACAAGTTATAAGCCAAGTTAGAAGTAGTTACTAAGTCCCATGACCTTCAAAGAAGTGGGTGCACAAGAGGGACCTCTGCCAAAGAGTGTGCCCTAACCCCAAACGAACCCCCTGAACCCTAAACCCTAAAAAACTACATCCGGATGTGAACCTTTAGGGGTTCCCAAAAGTCAGGAGCTATAGAGGGGTATATAGGGTGTACAGGCTTTGGGGGCTCTTCTCATCAGGATGATGGAATACTTGGGTCTGTAATTGGAGCCCTCTATTTAAAAGAAACATCACTACAGACCTCCAAACTGAGCTCCCAAAACCTTAGACCCCTGAAGCCTGAATCCCAAATCCTAGAGCCAAATCCCAAACGTTTAGACCCTAAACCCTAGACCCACAATCCTAAACCCCAAAAATCCAAATCCTTAACCCAAAAACCCAAAAACCCAAGATCCTATACCATAAACAAGTCCAGTGATCTGGTTCGATCTTTGTGCAGATGTTTGTGGCGTCGCTGGACGCAACGCCCGGCTCTGTCATTGCAAAAGCTGAGCGAATCTCACCTGGAACAGAGAGGGGGCCCAAGACACTTTTAGGCTTAGGGTAGGGTTTAGGGTGTAGGGCTTAGGGTTCAAGATTTAAGGTTTCGGATTTAGGGCTTAGGGCTTAGGGTTCGGGATTTATGCTTTAGGATTCCGAGTCTGGATTTGGAGACCTGCAAAAACCTAAAAACCTGTAGAATTGGCAGTTATAACCGGGACATCGGTGGATCTTGGGTTCCCGGCCAGTTGAAGTCTGGGGTTTAGGGTTTAGGGTCTTTGATGTTCCTTAACCCTCAGAATAAGGACCATACATTGTATACTGCACCCACCCTCCATCAGTTTATAGTAGGGGTCATATAACGGACTATATACAGCTGTAATATAAGCATTATCCAAATGTTACACAACTTACATGCGCCTAAGGTATGATGGTTCTACCTAGGGATGCTTAGTGGCTGGGGTAGAGCAGAAGCATGACCTACCGAAGGCCGCTTTCAGAGTGCTTGGCAATAACTTCGATGCTCGGGGCCGCAGTATGCGTGACAACGACAATGCCTCAACGCAACTGTTTAGGGTTTAGGTTTAGGGGTAGCAAAGTGTAGCAGCACTAGCAGCTGCATCTGCAGCCCTGCACTTGAGATCCAAGCGAAGCATGAGAAGCTCTCCACTAATTACGCAGGAATATTGGGAAACACCAGTGGTGTCTAGACTAGGTATGACAAGAGCTGGTTCGAAGTTGTGATTTCTTTCCTAAGCCCTAACCCGAGACCCACCCAGATTTGCCATGTCATGTTACTGACTTGCAAGTTTTTCGGACTAAGCAGGTACTCAGAACTGGACTTATGATCCTACTTGTACCTGGGGTAACCTACAAGTTCAGCTACGGGATTGAAAGTAGGACCAGAAGCCTAGTCATAGCTAGCTATTCAATCCCGTGCGCACTCAAACCTTCCAGGAGTCAAGAGGAGGAATCCTGGCCCTAAAAAAACCCAAACCCTAAACCCTAAACCCTAAGCCCTAAAAAACCCAAACCCTAAGCACCTATTGCCTGAGGAACCAGTATTGTATTTGGGGATACTATGGTACCCAATAATGGAGAATCAAATGGAAAAGAAAATGGAAAATGAAATGGAAACTGGGGTTATATAGGGTTTATAGGGTTTTAGAGTTGGGCAACATGAAGAAATTCTTGCCTCAAGGAAAGCTTCCTACCAAGGCAGGATACCCTGCATGAAGACTGTCCGCAGTTGAATGCTAGCTTTCCTTCACTACCTTGGCATACTGCAAAACAGGCCCGTAATGTATGCTAAGAACTGAAACATGCTACAAGAAGAACTAGCACATACTGCATGATATTACCCTCTGATAACATATAGTTACTAACCGGATCCATATAATATAGTATTATCACTGGTGTCTTTCCTTCACCCAATGCACTTCAAAACCCTAAACCCAGGGGTCCCTCTGCTAGCCGTCTTATACTACCCTCGTTTCCCCGTTAATGAAAGCTATTTCGGGGTAACCTAGGGGGAGGAGGAGAGAAATCCATGAACCCTAAACCCTAAACCTTAAACCCCAACCCCTCAAAGCCCTGAACCCTAAACCCCAACACCTTCAACCCTAAACCCTCAAAGCCCTGAACCCTAAACCCCAATCCCCTATGCCCCTCAAAGCCCTGAATCCTAAACCCTGAAACCCTATACCCAAAGCCCTGCTCAGGCACCGTTTAATAGCGGCTCCAGCCAGGTCTTTTTCTGCTCCTCTGTGCCAAACCTTGGCGGGCAGGAGGAGGGTGGGCGTAGGGTTTAGGGTATAGGTTTCAGATTTTAGGGGTTTAGGTTTTAGGGCTTAGGGGTTTAGGGTTTAGTGTGAAGGTTTAGGGTGTGGGGTTCAGGGTTGGTTGCATATTTTTGGGAGCCTAAATATTTATATATATATATACATGTATAATATGCATATGTATATTTATATATCTATATATATGTGTATACACACATTGGGGTTTTGTAGGGATCATATGGAGATTACATAGGGTTTGGAGTGATGCTACCCGGAATCAAGTGGACCAGAACATGGGATGGAAACTAGCTTTGCGAAGCATATGTAGTGGAGCGGCCTCAATAATTGCTAAGACGAGGGTTCTAGATTCCTTGTGGAACGACCTTCAATACAAATCAACAAGATCACATCGGAAAATTCTTAATCGCCCCACATCAGGTTTTTGAGTGGGATGTCACGGACATGTAAGGCTCCTGTAGGGCTTGCCTGCCCTGCCAAACTTGCTCTCGGCAGCACATGGTGATTCCAGCCAACAGTTCGGGATCCATTTTCATGGGTCCCCAGAATAAGGATCATCGCAATTTGAGAGGTGAATATCGGGGTGCGCTATTGGACACCCCGCCTCTACTTCGGGACGGAAGGAAGACGAGCAACTATTAATAACAGCAATGAAGGTTCGAGAATGCCACATGGGTAGGCTTTTTCGCCAGTTGCATATGAGCCATAGCCTAAACTCCTAGCATCCCCCTTCATAACTCCGAAAATACTTCTCCATATCATCACCTTTCTTACCCCCCCCTAAGGAGTTTTGACTATAGCTCATATGATGCCTTCCCTCGTCGCTCCGTCTTTACGAGGGCATGAGAGTGAAAGTGGGGGGGGGAATATTTCAAATTCCTATACTCTAAACTCTGAAAGCCTAAACACCTACATCTTCACCACTCCGAAATCACCGGGATGTCCGTTCTTATTTGCTTATTGTGTTGCTGCAATGTGTCAATGTGTGGGTATGCAGGCACCGCGCATAGTTGCCTGCGCAGCTACGATTACCATGACATTCAGCCTGTCCCCCTAACCACAAACCCTCACCCCTATCCCTGGACCCGAAACCCTAGCCTAAACCCTCACCAGTATTGCTCCAAGATGGGCTAGGCGGCTTCTCTAGCACCTCCATGTTGCCAGTGTCCGGCGCTGAACAGTTCATGGCTACATTGGCCACGCCATTCGTGCCGAGGATTTCTGCAATGGGTGAATACTCCTGTGCAGGCTTTAGCGTTGGGGTGTTTCGGGGTTTAGGGTAGCGAATAACCTCGACGCATCTACAGGAACGAACATGTTAAACATGATTTCGAAGTCTATTTGAGGGACCTCAAGTTCATGTTTGAGGGAACATCTACCAACATGAATATATATATAAAGAATCATGGACCAGGTTGTTTGTCAATATGCAGGCCCCAGCAGTATACCAACAATCATGATACCCTCCATCTTCTAAACCCTACCTACACCCCAAAGTATGTAAACTAATGGCCTTTGTAACCATCTTTACGGGCGTTTGGGCCATTATTCTTCCTGCTTTTGGGGTCCTGCCCTCCTGACATTCTACTTCACTTCAGGATGGGCGATTTCACCCGACGATTCCCACTTCCGGCTCAATTACACGTAGATCATGGGGTGTAGGGTTTACGGTCTACCCTAAACCCTGAACCAAATCCTGGGGCGATACCAGCTCACCCTGTCATCTGCTTCTGAAGGCAAGACTCCAACACGGATAGCTTGGAAACCTCCGGCAAGAAGAGGTTCATCAGGCCTCTTGCTTTTGCCTGGTCGCTGGCCAGGATTGGCTAGTAGACCCTTCAATTCCATGTTAGGACCCAAATGCGGGTAGATTCGTAGGCTGTTAAGGCCCAATCCTCCACCATTCCTCTTTGGGTCTACTGGACATCATGGATAATTTTGGTTGAGCACAGAAGGTTTCAGGGGTGTGACTGCCAGCATCTGGTTCAAGCCTGTGTCTGTCCGGTACTGGGTATGGCCTTCAAAAAAAAAACTGCAGGCTTTTCTCTTGTCACGTTCTCTGAAGTACAATACAAACAGAAACTCTGACAAACATATTCGCCGAGGCATCCAGCC